CTTAGCGTAAACCTTAAACCTTAAATTTTTTAAAAAATTAAAAATACGCTAAATTTACTAATATATCTATATATAAAAATTACTTAATTAGGAAATATAATAGTAGCTATAAGTTCTTATAGAATATAGAATAAGCGCTAAGTAGCCCTAGGCTCCCTAGACTCCTATAGTAAATTAAGTTACGCTAGACTACGGTCTAAAATATCGATATAGTTTCCTAGGAGATAATCGATAGAGAGGAATTATATAGCTTCGGCTATATAGTTATATAGCCTAAAGGTACACTACGAGTAATCGCTCTAGAGCGTACTCTAGAGCTTTATACGGATTTAATCCGTAATATAACTATTCTTTATAGTTAAGTACCTCTCCTTTTTTTATAGATATTCTATAATTTTAAGGTTAATATTTTAAAAGCGCTACTTTACCTTCTTTTTCTATAAATAATTTTTTATATTTTATATATTTCGAAAGTAGCTCTTCGATATTAGTCTAAATTAATATTTTATCTTTCGGTCGTATCTATATCGTCTTTATAAAGAAAGCCTTTAAAGATAATTAATCTTCTATTTTCGTTTCGTAACTATAATTCGAAAATTTAAGTTCTCTTATTTTCTAGTTTATTTAGAAGTTATATTTTTCTAGCTATTCTATTTCTAGTATAGCGTTATATTTTATTACTATTATATCTAGGATTATTTTTTTCTAATAGATTTCTATTAGTAGTTTAACTTATTATAGTTCTTTTCTTATCTATTTATTCTTAAACTTCGTTAGTAACTTATCTACTATTATAAGTCGATATAGTTCTATCTTCGCTCTTATATACTCTTTTAATCTTTACGCTACGTAGTATAAGATATAATTTTCGTTTACTTTAGAGTCTATTATAAGTCGTATAGAAAAGTTCTATAGAACGATTATAAGGACTATATATTCTACTTTATCTTTATTTAATTTATATAGAGTCTAAGGCTATTATCGTAGATAATCTAGCCTTAATAGATTATTCCGCTATCGTTTTTTAAATATATATATAGCTTTAACTTCGCTATATAAGTATCTTTACTATACTTATCTATTAATCGATATATCGTCTTACTAATCGGAATCCGAAGTCGATTAAAACTTATATTCTATAAGTATTAGTATAGTTTAAAGTACTATTAGTAGCTTCTTCTTATATAGCTAAAATAATTAAATAAATATATTAAGTCTACTCGTCTATTAATATAAGGTATATTCTCTCTCTTATCTTTTTATATTATATATAAGTTTCGTATCGTTAAAGCTTCTATTTCCTAGATTTTCTTCGCGTCTTCCTAGTCGAGGTTAACTATAATTTATTTATAGGTTAGTCCTTATATATAAGCGTATACTATTAACGCTTAATTATATTTATAATCCTAGTAGAATAATATATTAATTTCGTTCTATTACTCTTATAGTTTTATTCTAGGATCGTAATAAATATAGAAATATCTTTCGATTTCGCTATTATATTCTATATATTTACTATATTTCTAGTACTTTATTATAATCTTAATTTAGTTTCTTATAACCTTAGCTACGTAATATTTTTCTTCTTCTTCTAACGATATTTTAGAGTCTTCGTCTAACTCTTTAGCGTTTACTTCTTTCTATTCTTCTTCTTTATTATCTAGGTATATTAATTATACTTATTCTTCTCCGATTATTTATACTAGTAGATTATATTATACTACTTTATTCCCTACTATATTATATAAATAGTAAGAAGCTACTACTAGATATTCTAAGTTATAGTATTCGTTTAGCCTAATCGGCCTTCGAGTTAATTATCTTAGTCCGCTAGGGTAGAATATTAATTTCTTAATATCGTCTTTAATACTTACCTAGTAGTAGTTAGTAATAAATACTATAAGATAATATTC